ATGGTGGGGCAGACGAATGGGTTCATGGAACAGGCGCAGGCGCTGGGGGCCACGAGCACCCTCGGCGCGACCCTGGCCCAAGCGCAGTTGTCGCAGCAGCAGCAGCCCGCGAACTCAACCCGGCCTTCGGTCCAGCCGACCACGAGCCCGACCCCTCCAGCCCGCGAGATGGCCGAGGCCGCGATCACCGTCCTTGAGAGTCGGGAGCGCGACCAGCAGGGAGCTCGCCCGTCAGGCGACAGCCGCCTTCGGATGACGATCGACCGCCTCTCGACGATGGTTGGCGGCACGGCTCGCGATTCGGACACGTTCGAGGCGGCGTTGGAGGCCAGTGGAGCTTTCAAGCGCTGGCGGACGGAAATGGGCACGCTCTTCAAGACGGTGGGCGCCCAGGGTCGCCAGCTTGGCGAGGCGCAGAAGACCTCGGAGACGACGGCCGACGACTGCCGTGCGATTCGTGCCCCTCTTAAAGGCCGTGCTGTACGCGAGCCCTCCTCTCCGTGGACTCCCGCCGGTGGGAAAGGCGGCCGCCGCGGTCCCAAGCGGGGGGGGGGCGTCGCCGACGACGGCGAGTTCGGCCCCTTGTCATCCGACCCGCTGGCAGGCAACCTCGCGAACCAGACGATGCACATTGAGCTCATCGGCTACCTGGGCGCGGGCAAGACCCGCTCCGACATGACCGAGCTCACCGACTCGCTCGACAACGACACGAAGATCGCCTACGGCGAGTGGTGGAGCACCGTCAAGACGTGCACGGGGATCGTGCAGTGGCGCACAATATTGACTTCCCTTGGTGCGACTTCGGAGCAGGTAAAAACGGCCCAGTTCAAAGATATTGGTGAGTTGATCTACGCTCACTTGACGACTTCAGGATCGTGGGCACCCGATCCCCTTCAGCAGATTAAGTTGTCCTGAACGGTTACCCCGAAGAGCCTGGAGGCGACGGCGACGGACTCAGATGCCGCTACTGGGTCTACTCTCACTCCCTCACCGCCGACGGGAAAGCCTACCCCTCGATCTCTACCCTCGTTATTGCCCCTACCCGTGCCGTGCATCACATTGAGTCTGCGTGTTCTGGCGCTCTGGACAGCCTACCAAGCCGGCCTGTTTGTGGAGCAACTTCGTCAGGTCACCGAGGTTGCCCGCGAGCATGTCATGACTACGATGTTCTCTGCTCCCCCTAGCCTTTGGCGGTTGGGTCGCCTCATCGATGTTCGGAGTCCAGCGGGGAGTTCGCTGGAAAGCAGGTTGCGAGGCGGCTGCTCCGATGGCAGCAGCAGCATTTTCAGAGACGTCTGGTCCATTCCCAGTGTCATTGAATGCAGGGGCGGCGTGGCTCACTCGCGTTGCGGTGAGCTCAGTATGGGCGGCCGTGGCATGCCCACTTCATATCTCGCAATCAGACAGCCAGAATCTTATGTATTGATTTTTTTGCGTGACAATATGCTGGTAGTAGTTCTCAGGTGTTCTGAAGAAGTTGGGTAGCACTGCTCGGGGTATCACGCCTACACCTTCCACCGCGCCGTCCTGATCTGAGGGCCCCTAAGCCTTGAGCCCTCAGTAGTATTTTGCAGGGTGTGCCGCGTTCTTATTTCCGAGGCCTTTCGGGCACGAGCTCCGCGAGGGCCCCTGGTCACCCGCTGGGACCCCTGGGCCTGACTGGCTCACCTGAACCCACGTTCTTAGGTTTGCTAGCTTGTAAATCCCTCCCTGCAGAAGTCTTGGGGCGGTCTGTGTGTGTGCGTGTGCTTTCTTAGTGCATTCATCGTGCATGTTTTCAGCTCACCTCTGCAGTCAGTGCCGCGCGAGCCTTGCCCGCGCCGACCCCAGCACCGCCGCCAGCGGCTGTTCAGGTTTAGGCTGGCGCTCAAGCCCGTCGCGAGCGGGCGCACGCGCGTGGGTCTGAACAGTTTGCTTTCCATGAGATAATAGCTTCTCCTGGAGAAAAGCTTGCTTGATTATGATTGTCAGTACGTGTGTTCAGATACTCAAGGGGCTCAAGGGGGTCTCGTGGGATGTCTTGGGCCACGTGCTGAAGTTCACGGATCTAGCATATAGCATTTCAGAGAGTGTGTGTGTGTGTGTGTGTGTGAGTGCGTGTGTGTGTGTGAGTGAATGTGAGTGTGTGAGTGTGAGAGGGGGTGCATTGGCTGTGAGTGCGAGTGTGAGTGTGACTGTGTGCGCGAGTGTGGGCGTGTGTGTGTGTGAGTGCGAGTGCGAGTGCGATTGCGAGTGGGAGTGTGACGCCAGGGCTCCCAAGAGGGCGCGAAGTTCTTCGCGCTTCGCGGTCCTCGTTCCTTCTCTCCCCCCCCC